GACCCCTTCTTTCTACAAAAAAATTCTCTCAAGCTCACTTCAATGTGGGCTAGCATCGAAGTCAGATCGGCCCTCAGCTTTTGTCTCTGAGCTCGCCTCCCTCTCCTCCAGCATCTCAAACTCTTCGTTGCTCTAAATGACGGTGTGGAGGAGTTGGGGCAGCCGGGTGGTCTCCCGCACTATCTCTTCGAGCACAGCAGCGGTCGACGACAAGGATGCCCTCATTGACTGCTGTTGTGCTTAGACAGGGTGTCCAAGCACCGCCTCCGCTATTGACGCACCTGCAGACGACGTTTGTTTGGCAGCCGTGGGCGAACCTTGTGCCGCACTACTCGGCATGTCCCCCGCGAGCTCCATATTTGCCCTCGCAAGGCCACTCGACATCGCCACTGCATCCCTCATCTCTTCCACACCAGGATCGCCATCATCATGCAACCCACCGCTAGGAGACGCCAGTCCAGTTGTTGAGGGCTCTCCCATAGTAGGGTTGGTCAGCCCTACGATTCTTGATTGTTAAAGGCAGGCGGGCAACGGATTTGTTTCTGTATGCGTTGGAGTCGGTGGGAGCCACCAGCCGCCTCCCTCAAGCGCCTTTCGTCGCTAGTAGCTAATGGCTACAGTTCCTCCGTTGACTCCACGCTACAACAAGCAACAATACGTTAAATAAGCAAACTACAGTACCAAAGCAACATAGCAAGTAAACAAGGTACTTACAACTGTGACTCCTATTGCGTAGCTCGGAACTGGTGCCTCCACCGTCGCCACCAGAGTCGTCCGCGAGGACGCGGGGACTGTGGTGGCCGCCTATGCTATTACTATAGGGGGTGTAATTGTGATCTCAGGGGCTTCAGTAGCTGCCTGGGCTATTGATGCTGGTGCCACACGAGTCATCGCTGCTGACGACGCCTGAACACCGCCGGGTGTCGTGGCAGTGGCTTGCCACGACCATCGCATCTTGTGGGTCTCCGCTCTGGCTGGCACGACTAGTGGTGGCGTCCCGTCCCTCGGAAATGGTGGTGCTGCCAACCCATCGTCAACCGACGAGCTTGTAACCACCATTCACCATCTTTGGGGGTGAGCGAGAGCACCAATATTCGCCAGCTGCTCTTCTTGATGAGATGATCCTGTCGTCTTCCTTCTCTTCGGGGACAGCTCCTCGCTAGAAGGCCGCTTCCCTCGAAGTTTCTCATGGACGTCTGATGTTCGCTCACCTCCGTCTTCATCATCGTTATCATCCAAGCTATCCCTAGCAGTCCCTGAGCTGGCTCGACGTTGGGGACTGCTTGGCCAGGCATCAACACCCCTCGGCTAGTCCATCGATGGCATGGCTGAGAAGTATATTGCTCGGTCCTACTCATGGATTTTCAAGAGCACGAGTGAGTACATCGCAACAAAAAAGGAATTAGGCCAAACTAATACAAAGACTCTTACCGCTGGTGGGAGGTTCCCAACACTGAAGGCCCTCCACTTGTCGTCAACCTTACAGCGCCCCATGAGGTTAAACAACACCCCAATCTATCACTTGACTTCCTCTCGGGCAATCGGCTCGGGCACCCCTCGGGTCCCATCAGTATTTCCTCGAAATTCATATGCAGGGTGTGCCCTCTCCTTGCAGGGCTAGCATCGTTGAAAAGTAAAGTTCGTCACCACTATGACCCCATCTACTCTCCTTTGGTCAATCAACGCTAGGAGTTCCCTCACCTGCTCCATTCCACTAGCACTAGGTCTCTCCGACCACCTGGCACTGCTCACGGGAATCTCACCAATGTCGCACGCCACATAATGTTCCCCCTGTGGCATGTAGAACCATCGATGTGCCCAAAACTTCACATTTGTGTTCAACGGGGTAGCGATGTACTGCCCAACCATCCCATCCCGTAGCTGCAAGTACGCGCTACCCACGACTCTAGATCCAGATCCCCCATGAGATTTCAAATAGAAAAAGTGGCGGAAGAGATCAATATGTGGGAGAATGCCAAGATAGGCTTCATAGAAATGGATGAAGACATAAACGTGAAGGATGGAATTCGGGCCCAGATTGCAAAGACTAATGGCGTAATACTCAATCAATCCGCGGAGGAACGGATGGATTGGAACACTAAATCTGCGATAGAAATAATCTTCAAACACGACCAATTCATCACCGTGGGGGGTAGGAAAGCTCTCACCGCAAGCAGGACGCCATCCCGCCATCACCCTATCCGACAGCACGCCATCCACCACCAACTGGTTGAGCGCTGCCTCATTGCTGACGGAGCTTACCCATTCCTCGGCGTGATTGAGCTTGCGTGATGCCCTACTCGAGCTGCTGTGGTTTCTCTTGGGTGCCATCTCATAGATCTAAGGAATGGTGGGAGATTATGAGCTTACGGTCGCTAAGATGGTAGAGCAGTTGCTAGGTGATGTGGTGCGGGCACGAGGAAGAAGACGAAGAGGCGAGAGCAAGGTGGGGAATGTGCGTCGGGGCTGTGGCACTTTATAACGGTTCGACCCCTGACCCTTTGCCTTCTAGGGATTTTGGGAAGACCCACCTGACCCGCCGCATTTCCTCCCGAAACCGCCGCACGCTGGTGGGCCGCCAAATGCGCAAGGTGGGCCATGGCGTTAAATCACGTTAAATGCGGAACGACGAAACGAATCTCTAGACTAGGTGCTGGATCAATGAAATTTGTTATGCATCTATGCCAAGGTTTTTTTCCTTGACCCTGCTACAAGATTCCTTCATCATCTTCCAGCAGGCTCGGGGACTAAGTGTGTACACTTCACCTTGCGGTGAATGTACTAGTTCCCTGATTACTCGAACTTTCAGAAATAATGCAGACTGCATATTTTTCTTTGAGCCTGCTACAAGATTCCTTCATCATCTTCCAACAGGCTCGGGGACTAAGTGTGTACACTTCACCTTGCGGTGAATGTACTAGTTCCCTGATTACTCAAACTTTCAGCAATAATGCAGACTGCATATTTTTCTTTCAGCCTGCTATAAGATTCCTTCATCATCTTCCAGCAGGCTCGGGGACTACATTATGTACAATGCACCTTGCGGTGCACATACTTTTCTTCTTCATGGTGTTTTCAACTTCATCAAGTCTCTACCTATGCTCTGTCCTGATGACCACATCGCTAGGACCATTGCAATTGGCACTTAAGTGTGTACACTTCGCTGAACAAGACTTCAATTTTTTTTACTTGAGCTCCTTACATCCTTATGGCAAACCACGACTTCGAGTGAGTCTGAGCTTGACGCCCAGTTAAACTGGTCGGACCCCTATCTCAGCTGCTCGGACACCCACTTCAACAGCTCGGATGCTCGTTTGAACTGCTCGGACGCTCGTTTTGGCCCCTATTTGAACTAGTCAGAAGATTGATCCTGATGAATTGCTGCAAGTTGGACAGCTCGGATGGATGCAAGATGGTGTTGCTCTGCGGATGCAAGGTGCTCGGGGACTAGCTGTGGGGGTATGACCCCCGGTACCAGCAAGGATCCACACGGGCCGAGCCGCTAGGGGAGGCCCAGTCCACAAGACCATGCATGGGTCGCGCCACTGGTCGAGGGCCAGCTCACAAGACAACGCCACATGAAGTATGCCGCAAGACGGCATGCTTCACAAGGCAACATAAAGATTATCGGTGATCGACGAAATTTGCTCGGATATGATAGATATTATACGAGTTGTAACTTCCTATCTTGTAAACCGATCAGAATATAAATAACCGATCTGTAACCCTACCCCCCCCCAAGCTATATAAGGCGGGTAGGGACCCCCCTTGTGGGGATCGAAGGATACATAATACAAGCCACAAGGACACAGGATGTAGGGCATTACATCGAGCTGATGGCCTGAACCTGTCTAAATCGTTGTCTCTTGCGTTCTGTGTCACCATCCAGTTCCCTCACGCGCACCTCCATCGATTCATCTACTATCGTGGGCATACCCCTCGGTAGACTACCGACCAGATTTCGTCGACAGTGACCTCCATCTTCAATCTCTGAAGCAACATTTGGCCAGTGCTCAGAATAGGATGAAAGTCATGGCTGATAAGAAAAGAGTAGATCTCTAGTTCCAGGTTGGCGGTTAGGTGCTATTGAAGCTTCAACCATATACACAGTCCACAGTGCCCAGCCGACCATATCCCAAGCTAGCATACAAGTTCTATGGGCCATACACCATCCTGGAGAGAATTGGCAAAGTGGCCTATCGGTTGGATTTACCTCAGAGTAGCCAAATTCACCCGGTATTTCATATTTCACAGCTCAAGTCCTCTGTTCCTGATTTCTCACCAGTGTTCTCGGAACTGCTGGTCACTACTAACATTGAGGCGACCACCATTGTTCCTGAGGTCATCATCGAGCGCCGCCTGGTCAAGAAGGGTGCCACCGCTGTTCCTGAGGTCTTGGTGAAGTGGAGCGGCCATCCACCTACGTCGGCCACCTGGGAAGACTACAATGTCTTGCGCCATCGCTTTCTAGATGCACCTGCTTGGGGGCAAGCAGGCACTTCGGCGGGGGGAGGTGTCAAGCCCACGACGACGACTACCTGAAGGAGGCGTACTCCCTGGAAGGCGTTATCTATCTATGATTACATATTCAATCATTTATGTAATGCAACGTCTATGACATGTGGGGCCTTGAGGGCAGAACCCGGTCTGTAATAAGTCACCGCTGTGAGACTCTAGGAACTATCGCATTTCAGACAATACAGAACTCAGCAAGAGGAATCTTTCCTCTGTCGTTCCGATCTCGTGTTCTTCTTGTGTTCCTCACGTCGGCGGTGCTCACCGACGGTAACGGGGTGTGACAAGTGGTATCTAGAGATGGTTCTTCCTCGGCGTGGGTGACGAGCTCCACCGGCTCTTCTCTGGCTCCAGTCATCGGCGGCGGCGGCAACTCTCCGAGTCGGTGCGCTCACCAAACCCTCGTCAACAACCCAAATCCGGCAGCTCTTGCCCCGTAGCGCTTCCCGTATCCGTCTAGCTTCGATGTTGGTTCGTAATTCTAGGGCTTGCTCCTCGGGCTCCTGTCGGATGCCCGCGCGGAGGACATCGAGTACGTGCTCAACGACATCCAGCGGACGCCGTCCCGTCTCGACTCGAAGCACGAAACCCTGCAGTACCAGATCGCTGCAGCGTCCCGTGGCAAGCAGCGTGCTCCACGGCGGAGGGTGCCGCCACCGCCGCTCCTGCCGTCGGCGTGCCGCTTCCTGCGGCAGACGATGATCCCGGTGCGAGGTACGCGTACACCAGGGAGGGTGCCGGCGCCGTCCGGAGGAGGCTGCGGGCCGCTGCCGGCAACGTGAAGAAGGAGAAGAAGCGGCTGGAGGCTGTGTGGGACGATCTGGAGGAGGCGCTTGTCGATGCCAAAGAGAGGCTTGCCCTGCAGCCTGGAGAACGAACCGCATAGACCCCGCCCGTGGGGTTCCACGTATGCGTACGTCTTCATGCATGTCGTTCTTCAACTGGACATTTCTTAGTAGTGGGCAATACGTATATAGAAGCATGCTGTTGGTGAAATTTCTCCCTTTTTTAATTTTTATTATTACCACTGATTTGGCACCTTGGTTCGTTTTCGTCGTCCTCTTTCCCTGATATATCCAGAGGTTATAGTATCCAGTGGTGAAATGTAAAACAGCCGGATGCACGACGACGTCCTAGTTTCGACTTGTAATGGAATTTACCGGTTTTATTTCAGTTGTATGTAATTTTGTGAATCTGATGGCGCGGCGTCTGTTTTTCTCTGAAACTGAAACCATGTAATTTTGTTGCTTAGCGTTTGTGGTTGGACGGTTTAGTTGTCATGAGACCATGCTGCTGAGTGGTTACACGAACCCACAGCGGCACATGCAGCGGCCTGAACCCCATATTCAACAATAATGTTACCTTATTGAGTTTCTACTGTTTTTCCATGTTCAACAATGGCAGAATGACCCCAAAGATCACAAGGTTGTTAAGATGGGATCCCATATATAATGTTACCTTATTGAGTTTCAATAATATTTCATGACAAATAAACCATTTTTAAAATCATTTACATCAATTATTATTATTATTATTATTATTATTATTATTATTATTATTATTATTATTATCATCATCATCATCATCATCATCATCATCATCATCATCATCATCATCATCATCATCATCATCATCATCATCATCATCATCTTACCTTATATTAAAGAGGCAAAACTTCGGCCGTTAATTTTTTCTGTATTGTTTTGTCCACTCCGTGTATGTCATACTCCGTGTATGTCATACGCGTTACTACTCCTTTTTTGTTTTGCGCATCCCCTGTCCTCCAGTGCATGTTTCTATTTTTTTAGCTTTTGGGCATTACTAATGTCAGGACGTCCGGAGCCGCTCGAAGATATCGGACGCCTCTGGTCCCTCGCATGGGAGGCCGCGCCGCATGTGAAAAAAGACCGCACCACCTGTTTTTGTGCGCCGCACCACGTGGACCCCACGCTCCGCGCCGTGGATGCATCTGCCGACCTCATGCACCCGCAGGGTGACCCACGGCGACGCCAAGCAGCTGCAGCAGGCGGCTATGTCAAGTGGGTCCTATTGTAAAATATGCAATAGCCGATCTACTTTTACGACATCTATACAAAACACTTGCAACATATGTCTGAAACAGCTGAAATACAACATCCAACTGAAACACTTGCAACATGCGTATGAAACACATGAAATATTTAGAACACACACTTGAAACATATGTGTATAGTCATTGCAATATGTGCAACAACCCGATCTACTTTTACAACATCGATATAAAACACTTGCAATATACCTTTAAAACATCTGAAATACTTAAAACATACACTTGCAACATGCATTTTCAGTGCAACATCTACTTGTTGCTTGGGTGAATGAAGGCGCGTTGGCACGCAGAGCTCGATGTCGGCGTGGAGATCGACGCCAGCACGGAGTGGGTGGGCGGGTATATATAGTGCCCACAACGAGTGACCCCTACGCTAGAGAAGGCCGCGGCGAGTGGGCAGGTGCGGTGCCCGTGGCGCGATGCCCCTACGCTGGAGAAAGACCATGGCGGACGAAGTGTGGTGCCCGTGGCGTGATGCCCCAGTGTTGGAGAAAGGCCGCGACGGGGGTGCGGTGCCCGCGGCGGGCGAGCGCGGTGAAAGCGAACATCGCGGGCGGGGTGCGAGCATTGCGGGCGATGACAGGAGCAAGCATCGCGGGCGGGGCGTGCGACGAGCAGGAGCGAGGGCGTCCGGATGGATAGACACCCTGAAAAGAGCATTATCGTTCCCTTTTGCGTGTCCTCCTCTGTATACACTTCTTACCTTTTTTTGTTCATTTTTTTAATGTTGTTTCCGTTTTGTTCTCACATTTTTCCATACCCATAACGTTTCAGCGTCCCGCTTGGTTTTTCCATTTTAGATTTTTTACTCAAATTTTTGCCCTTTTCTTTTGGGCCGGTGGTTTTTTAATTTTCTTGTAAACATCGAAAACAAATAGAAAAACGATATTGTGGGTTTTGATCTGTTTATCTTTCTCTTAGAAAAAAAATTTACCATCAATTTAATGATATAGTTTTGATTAAAAAAATTAATTCTTATTAAAAATCAACTAGTGGTCCAACTAATCAAACTGTGAATTAAAATCTTAAATAGTTTGTTGACTAGTTCCGTCTAAATAAATGTATCTCTACAATCTCTGACCAGGGTTGCTATTTAAAATTTTGAGAGGTCTCTATCGTCACAATCATCCATGAACAAACCAATTATTGACACATTGGCAACTAACTTCTTACCAACTTTAAGTAAAAAATAGAATTACATATTTTAAAGGTTCAAAGAAAGCCCTGGAACTCGATATTTAACTATAGTTACGTTGTATAGTATGAAAACTAAAGTTATTATATGTTTACGTTCAAATATTTTTGTGCTTTGTGATGGCCGAAAAAAAGTTGTGAAGGTCGTATTTTAATTTGACACATGCTTAATAGAATATTATCAAATTATTGCCAACATTAACTTATATTAGGGATGTTAGTCATCGTAAAATAAATTATAGATTCAAAATTTTATTAGAAAGGGACAAAACATATATTGTTGGGGAAATGCCCTCGCAGCGGCACCCCCACCTTTGCACTTCGTGCCTTTGCACCCGGGCCACCGCCAAAGAGGGACCCCGCGAAGGTCCCTTTGTGGGGTCGCAAGGGAGAAGGTTGCAGGAGCAAAGTACCCTCACTGGGATCATCTAAGATGTTGTCCTCGCCCTCTGGAAAGTATCACAAAATTCGTCTTGCTGGTCCAAGTAGCAACACTGAAGATGGCACGGCGATGGAGACCTTCGCTAGCACCTTCACTCCTCCGGTCATGCATCTGAGCGCGGGCGCCTCAGGGAAGCGGATGAAGATGATCCTGACAGAGGCCTTCACGGTGTTAAGGGAGTGGTTAAAGCCAAAGCTCCATATAAGTCTAAAATACCCCTAGATGCTCCTAGAATATTCCCTTGTAACGCCCTTGAATATGTAATTTCGCCTCATGCCCTTGTATGAGCTATAAATATTGGACTGGCACAACTGTTGTGGGAGAGAAGTTATTGTCATTTACCCTAAAATTTATTACGCCCCTTATTCCGTGTTGTCCTCGTTGTTTCCTTTCTGTGGAAAATCCTTGGCCCCCACCCTCGCTAACTTTCACCCTGTTCGCTTGTTGGTTTCAGCCAGGCTTATTCAACCAGCCAACAGTGTTTTTCTCTCAAAAAACCAGCACCAGCCAGGCCAAATCAGCACCAGCACCAACCAGCGAACAGGGTATTTGTGTCGGGGGTCTTTGGCATTAATTAACATTAAAGTTTTTCTCCGATTGCAACATACGGGCAAATTTGCTAGTTTTTCTATTATACAAGTATCATAAGGTCAATAGTATCGCGATACTGATATGGAATCTTTGCGTAGGATCCAGATACGATGAAATTTATGGTGCGCTTAGCAGCAGGATACGATTGGTATCCTTTTGCTTTGATGGGATCGTGTCACTGTAAGATCCTAAGATACAAATTGAGCAAGATAAAACAAACAGGTACTCTATCTTGTTGCATTAATAAAGGGTGGAAATTAGCTTTTTCTCGCTACTAAACATTTTAAGCATCACTTGGGCCGTCAAAAAGGCCTAAATGTGCGTACTGTGCGGTTTTCGCATTCTTGGAAGCCCATCTTATTCTCCTCCCGGTCGCCGCAATAAACCCCCAGCAAGAAACCCCACCGCGCCTGGCCGCCGCCGGCTCACCGGAGACAGCATCCAAATCCATGGCCTCCCGCCGGGCGCTCCACAACTTCACGCCCTCCCGCCCGGCGATGCATATCCTCACGCCCTCCCGCGGCATCGCCTCGACCCCGCACCTCTCGTCCTTCGGCTGGTTCGACAAGATCAAGTCCACCATCACTGGCAAGAAGCCCGAGGAGGGCTCCGAGGCATCCTCCTTCACCCTCATCCGTAAGTCTCCGACACGCCTGAGCGCTATTCCGGTTCCCTTTTGGTAGGCTAGTGGCGGTGCGGTGGCTTGACCAGCCTCTCCCGTTTTGGGTTTGATTTGCAGAGTTCGCGGACACGATGGAGAAGGCGAGGAAGCTGGGGACGTTCAAGAACTTCGTCGCCGGGCGGGCCAGCGAGGCCACCGTCGTCAACGCCTTCGAGAAGCACTCCGCTGTGCTGCGCTACCTCGGCGCCATCGACCCCACCGGCGAGGTACACACTGATCTGATTTTTCCTTTCTTTGGATACAGTGCTTGCTATTTGGGGTGGGGATAGATTAAATGTCTACACCGTAATTTTTATACAGAAACTCCGTAACACTGACAAGATTAACGCGACCAAGCACTGCAACTGCACGATTGCTGATGTGGAGCACATTCTGGCCAAGTACACATGGGCTAAAGAGGCTCAGAAGAAGATTGAAAAGCTCAAGGAAGAAGGGAAGCCATTACCAAAGTCATTTAATGAGGTAGGAAGCCTGAGAACGATACCGAGCCGTTGCCTTATTATACTTGTGTGGTATGATATGCAAAATGCTATTGGACTATTGGGGATTGTTATTCCGTTAGATTTTATTATATATTCTACTATGCATTGAAGTGGTCTAATGGCATTGGACATAATGAACATAAGAATTAAAAACGCATATCAGCAACGAGGGAAGGTAAAA